CTACTTTTCGAGTGTTCCTTTGAAATTCTTTAAAACAAATGATTCATCAAATAAGCAAGAGCAAAGGAAGAATATGCCAATTTGTAGAATTTGACTCCTCCTAATCAGAGCAAGGCTGCAGGATGTTGAGTTCCTGCCCTCCACCTGATTAAAGCCAAATGCACGGTGAAATGGCTGGGACTAAGAGGAAGCGCCAAACACTTCACAGTTGGGGGCAGAACAGCAAAAGAATAGAAAATGCCCCCTTTACCTTTGTTATTTTTCTGGCTTTCACAGATAAGCACTTATTTCCTGTAGTATTTGGACCTTAAAGAAACTGTGTAGTATAAGATAGAATTTTAAGTGCCTGATCTTGACATTTTTTTTAAAAAAAAAAATTCCCTGATATTGCAGCTGATTTCAGAATAGCCAAAATTTTGTTGTTCTTCATTTCCGCCTGTGTTTCATTTCATTTGGTTTCTTTTTCAGTGGTGACTGTAAGTACCAAGTTGTTGGAAGGCATCTTATCTGTCTTTTTTCAAGTCATAACTTTTATATAAAAAAGCAGATTTAAACTAATTTGCCACCTGGCTCATTTTGGTATTCCCATCTCACTTTAGAGTTCTTTACAGGTTCTTGTATTCACATTTCCTTTCCAATGAAGATGTGCTAATTTGCTAGTCTTTTCTTTAGTCCATGTAAATTTTACATAATTCTATTGGCTGGAAGAATTTCTTCAACCTTAAGGCTTTTTTTTTCATGCTTGATAAGTTTTTCTTGAGGAAGGGATGAGCTGTTGAATATTTTTCTGCTTGCTTTTCCAAAGTGTATTTTTAAAAATTAGTTGGGGGTTTATCTTAATATATCTGTTTTAAACAATTTAAAATGAAATTTCTATTTGGCATTTGTATACAGATTGCAACATTTTTATAACAATACAATGTACAATATCCTGGCAATCTTATTTTGAAAAGGCAGCTGAAAAAAATAGTGTTCCTTGATTAACAGAAATCCAGATTCCTCTTAGTTACCTTGAAGTAATCACAATCTGTTTAAATCTTACTTATATTATAATATTTTAATAGATTTTATTCCATTGCCAGTATTCTTTACTTACTTTACTTAGTTGACCATCTGAAAAGAATGATGTTTCTTATAGTATTAAATTAGTAAAGAAAACTCAGTAAAGGATTTTGTTTTATTTTTATTTAGAATTACAGTATTTTAAAAAATGAGTTTAAATAGCTGGCATTTTTACTCATATATCATTATGCATCTACAATCACGGTAGTTGATAATATTAATCCCTATTATAATAGCTGATGGTTCTTATTGCTTATTAAACTGTGATATGTATAGTCAAATAAAGACATTAGATGAGAAACTCTGCCCCTCAGAATTTTTAAAAATACAATCTCAACATAATCAACTTTGAGTCCGGGTGATTTCATGAATGTGTCATATGCACACATATGACCCTTTACTTGAACTGCTAGCTATTTCATAGCCTATGACCTGAAATTTGAGAATTGAAAGTTGATAAGCTTTTGGAGATAACTGCAAACATTGAACAGTAATAGGAACAAAAAAGATTTCAGAAGTTCTTTATCACTGTGGTTATCAGAACAAATTATTGAAAGCCTGATAGAATATCTTTCTACTACATCTTATACCAAGCAAAACTGAGGCAGATCCTTTTGAATTTCTTTTTCGCACTTTCTTCTTTATCAGGACTAAGTAATCTTTTATGAAACTCCTCCCTTAACAGATTGTTTATCTCTCCCACATTTCCAGGACCAGGTCTGCTTTCCATCTTAGTGATTCATTTGTAAATTGCTGAAAACATCAATTATTAGCCACGCTTCCAATCTAAAGAATAGGGGTATGAGACACAATTATGTCTCCCTAAGTGACCAAAAAGTAGCTATCAAATTATCAGCTAAATTTGAGGAATACTCTGTTGCCATTATTAAACCAGCTGTGTTGGTTTTCTGTGTCATGGTTGAATGCCCAATATGAAAAGAAAATGATTTTAAAAAACTGTTTTGCCTAGGGCAGGTGAGACTCAAGTTCAGTGCTATACTCAGCCATAGAAGCTTGATGGATGACTTTTAGCAAATCACTCACATTGAGCCTAATTTATTTCATAGGACTATTATGGGGAAAATTGGAAGAAGAAATGTCTTGGGTTTCTGGACACAAAGCAAGATTAAAAAATAATCTCATTTAGACTTTTCTTAAATGATACTCTAACTCCTCATTTACTCAGTTTTGCATTCTTTTAAATTGATGCTTAGCTTCTGTTCAAGTGCACTATTCCTGATCAGAATATTTGTAGGAGATGCTGAGAATGAGATATGGATATTCATATTTGGGATTTACTTTCCCAAAGGTTAATAAATAGAGCGTGTGTATGGGGGGGTTAGAATTCTAGGATTCAGGAAACTAGAGAATTTAATTTCTATGGGCACTTACTTAGGTTTCCTTCTTTATATAAAAAAAGTTTTATGTATAAAGCTTGTTGTTTTAATATGTGCTGCACATATGGAATAGTACCTTCATGCCATTCAACAATAGATATATGGGGTAAAAGTGGCTATAAAGGATGTGTATTATGACACTTTCAGAGAGAGGAACCTCAGACATTTAAAAAAATCCAAGGAATTCAAACTATAAATATGTTTCAAACTATAAATATCGTATTCAATTTCATTTGTTTTGCTTATCCATCTGGTAGTCTACTGGTATCTCAGCTATAATTCTGAAATAGTATTTATTAGTTGGTAGTTCTAGTTATGTTAACTTTCCTTACTGTTTTATTTCCCTTCACCCTCCCTTTGTAAATAAAAAATTCATAACTACAGTGAAAAGAATAAGTTTTGGAGAATTCAAAAACCTGAACATTTTCTTGGTTTTTTGGTTGATCCTAATAAGGAAAAAGGTATTGACGGGAATGTTTGTTTTTACCAACCATATCTACTTAAAGGTATTGCTAGTCTTTTCATATATTAATATATTTCAGCACATAGAGCTGCACATTACTCTACACACAAAATTAATTATAAATTGTTAAAATGGTCACATTTATCTGTTCACATTTTATTCACCGCCATTGATTCCCATGATATCTATAAGGCAGAATTAATTGGCTATGCTTTTACAGCTCCCCTGTGGAAGTTTTTTTTAGTGGTTCTGCAAGGCACCCTGCCTTTTGTAAAAAGCATTTAAAGCATTTAGCACAGCTGGGTTTCACTATGTATGAAAACTTTTAGAGCACTATAGTGTCACTAATCATCAGCACTGCTACATTTCAAATTTTATCTGTCCTAGCTGCAGCAATGTAGAGATGGTGAGATAATGAAACTCAAATAAATATGTTTTATAAATATATTTGTAAAGTATGCATTGTACAAAAACTTGACTTTTCCTAATGTTAAAATTATTGTTATGATTCTAAAATATTTTTAATAAAATCCCCTTTATAATGCTGACCAAATTAATTAATGGTGACAATAAAATAAGGAATGTGTTACTATAAACCTAATTACGTTAATATAATTTTCAGTGATCTTTATCTCTCAATAAAATATTTAGGATTATGTTGAATTCAGGAATATATTGCAGTCAAGGTTTATAATCATTATAGAGCTTATCTTCTAGAAAATATCACCCTGGGTATTTTTCATATTATTTCTGAAATGATTACTGTTAAACATTGAAATATAGATTCATTAAGAAAACCAAAATCATGGCATCCGGTCCTCTCAATTCCTGGCAAATAGATGGGAAAGAAATGGAGGTAGTGACAGATTTTATTTTTCTGGGCTCAAAGATCGCCTCAGATGGCGACTGCAGCCAAGAAATTAAAAGACGTTTGCTCCTGGGCAAATCTAGACAGCATACTAAAAAGCAGAGACATCACCCTGCCAACAAAAGTGCATATAGTCCAGGCCATGGTTTTCCCAGTTGCAATGTATGGCTGTGAAAGTTGGACCATAAGAAAGGCTGAGCGCCAAGAATTGAGGCCTTTGAACTATGGTGCTGGAGAAGACTCCTGCGAGTCCCTTGGACTGCAAGGCGTTCAAACCGGTCAGTCCTAGAAGAGATCAACCCCGACTGCTCTTTAGAAGGCCAGATCCTGACTTCAACTCCCAGAATTCCTGAGCCAGCCATGCTGAAGAGAAATGGAGAGGTTTCCATGCTGAGCCATGCTGGGTGAGGAATTCTGGGAGTTGATGTCCACGAGTCATAAAAGAGCCGAGGTTGCCTACCCCTGATCTAGGGACTGTAATGGGAGGGAAATTGGGAGCTTCATAGTTAATTTCTTCCAGTATCCTACTGCCTTGCCTATTTAGTTTATAGTTTAAGCCCTTAGTTTGTAAGGTTTTATTGATGAAAAATATTTTTGTTCCTAGAGAATCCAACCAACATTTAAGTCCAGAAGGAAAGAGGCAAAATCAGTATCAGTTGCATGTCAGTGTCACATGGCCCTCCCTTGTAAAACATATAATTTTATTATACTTTACTTTTCTATTTCTCACCTAAGAAATTTTTTAATAGAAAGAGTATTAATCACAGCTGTAGAAGAGCAGGCAGAGCTGGGGGCAGAATTAAGAGAGAACTTAGCCTAGAATCATTACATGTCTACAAACACTCTAAATCCACCCCCTCCCTTGAATTCCATTAACTCTTGTCTTACACCAATTTAGTATTTACCATAATTCTTGTGTATAGGCTTGAGCAATAAATCTGAACTGGAACTTATGTGTGATCCTGATTGTTTGTGCCTGACATTTACACTATATTATCAGAAGAAGAAGAACTGGAATCCATGAAAGAAAGAGTTTTACAATTTGACTGTATTAGAATGACAGTATTACCTGATATAAAAGTCTCATGTTTAAGATGACTACATATCTATATGCCACAAGATATACCTTCCAGTTGGCTGAGCCTTAAATTCTACTTTGTGGATAGCATTGCTTTTCATTTTGCATTTTTTTCTTTTTTTATCTCCTCAGATATCGTTTGATTTAGCAGAATATACAGCAGATGTTGATGGAATTGGCACTTTACGATTACTAGATGCTATCAAGACATGTGGTCTCATAAACTCTGTAAAATTCTATCAAGCCTCAACAAGTGAACTTTATGGAAAAGTGCAAGAAATACCTCAAAAGGAAACTACTCCATTTTATCCCAGATCTCCATATGGTGGGTGTATTAATTTCTTGACAGATTCAAAAGAACCTCTTATAAGTGGATGCAACATCACAGTTTTTGAGATTGGAATCCATATTAGACGTGTCATTTATTGGTGCAGTAATTTAAAAGTTTAGCCTATTTGTTTTGAAGGACTTTGGAAAGTTAAAGTCTTCTTCAGGTTGAATTTAATTTCCATTAATGTCATGAATGTATCTGTGTAGCTTTTGTACAGTAGTATGAAAGTGGTATACTAGGGCAGGGGTTCCCAACCCCTGGTCCGTGGACTGGCACCAGTCCCCAGCATGCCAGCAAGCGGGTCGCACAAACAAGCAAAACTTGCAGGATGCCGGCAATATTCAAAACCACACCCCCTCTGGTTCGTGGAAAAACCTTTCTCCATGGCAATGGTCCCTGGTGCCCAAAATGTTGGGGACCTCTGTACTAGTGTGTCCTCCTGATTTATCTTTTGACTGGAGGTTTCCTATCCGAGCTTCTGAGCCAGGTAACATTGTCCAGATGCTGCCAAATTAAAGGCTTTTGTATAGGATGCCAAAACAAAGGTTTTTTTCCCCCAAAAGTTCTGTTTTGTGCAGTCATGTATTTCATTTTTAATCCATTATCTTAATCTTATCTTCTTGTCTTTATTTGAATTACAGAAAAACATTTATTTTGTCTGCTTACTATTATTTTAATTGTGGAAAGATTTATTTATTGTTTATTGATAAACAGCATTTGCCATTGTATGGGTACTTAATTTTTTTATTTATTTACACAGACTGTACTTATTACATGATTTCTGGTATCATTCATTGCTAGAAATGAGCTGACATTATTTTTCTGTTTTTAATTCTGTTTTTATTTATTTATATCTCTGCCTTTATTTTTCTTTTATAAATAATTCAAGGGTGAGAACTTACCTAATACTCCTTCCTTCCTCCTCTTATTTTCCCCACAAAAAAAACCCTGTGAAGTATCTGGGCTGAGAGAATGTGACCAGCCCAAAATCACCCAGCTGGCTTTCAGGCCTAAGAACTCACAGCCTTCTGGTTCCTAGGCCAGCACCTTAACCACTAAACTATATGATATTCAAGTGATTATTTGAATGAATTTTATTTTATGGCTATCATGTACTCTATGATGAATTAAAGGAGACTTTAAGTATTATAGCATTAAAACAAACTGGAATTTCAAACCAACTGAAATTGGTTTGAAATGCAACATTGTTTTAAGTAGAGATTCTATAGTGTGATTAAGAATTAAGAATTCTTGTTTAATGCTTGAATATCGGTTATACTTATGATAGGACATGATGAGAAAAGTCTCGTAGCACTTTCAGTGAGTGTGGCGGCTATTTTGTTCCACATCCGTTTATATTAACAGAAATTGAAAACATGTCTGAAACCAGTGTTCTAATGAATTATTTAGAAATGATTTTTATTGGCTTTTTCTTTTTGGTGTGGATGTATGAGTGAATATATTAAGTTTTGTAAAATATTTCAGTAAATAATTAGAATTATTGTTTCAGGGGCAGCCAAACTCTATGCATATTGGATTGTGGTAAATTTCAGAGAGGCCTATAATCTCTTTGCTGTGAATGGTATTCTTTTCAACCATGAGAGTCCCAGGAGAGGTAAGGAGCACGTCTAAACATTTTCATTACTATTATAATATCTAATATCTAATGTCTGAAGAGAAATACATTTCTGTTTAACTAATTGTTTTTGATAGATTCAACACTCTTTATAATCAAAGCTTTTATTTATTTATTTATTTATGAGACTTATATACCGCTTTAAGTGCAAGCACTCTCTAAGCGGTGTACACCAGTAAGCAATGTATTTATTTACATTGCCCCCAACAATCTGGGTCCTCATTTTACCTACTCCGAAAGGATGGAAGGCTGAGTCAACCTTGAGCCGGTGAGATTTGAACCGCTGACCTGCTGAACACAGTCAGCTAAAGTGGCCTGCAGTACTGCACTCTAACTGCTGCGCCACCTCGGCTCATTTATATGTAACCTTAAGGTTAAAATGGTATATAACAGTTCAATGGCAATTAGTTCAGACTTTATGGGATATCTTTCATAGTTAGCACAATAAAACAAAATTACCATCTGTAAAATTGTGTAAGATATAAGCACTATTGAGAGAACAGAATTTTGAGACTTCGATTTCAATTCTAAAAAATTCCTATGATAAAATTCATGTCTATCATGAAACCACCTCTGGCCTATCCTATAGAGATTCATTATCTTAGTTGTATATTTTTAATGTTACAAAATGCTTGTGCTGTTTTGTTCAGAGTTCATCTGTTCATACAAAAAAATAATCAGGGTTTAGATTAACATTCATATTGAATAAAGAGGGCATAAATAAAAGTTTTCCAACTTAAACATTTATTTGAGGATAAACAAGAAAAGAGATAAATGAGAGAAACCAATATTTTGGGAGTGGGCATTTAAAATGGTTAAAATAAAATGAAGTGAAGTTGCTTTTCCATGCCAAATTCTTCCCACTTTATTCATAGAGTTATATCAAAATACCATCGCTGTTCATTTATTTTTACTTTAAATAACAAACCCCACTGTTATCAAAAACACACTTTCAGGGTTTCTAAAATGTCCCCAGTTATCCCTGGAAAGCCAGACACAATCTTTTTAAAAGGAAGAAAGGAATAATTCTACTTGTCGATGAGTTATAACTTTCAAAGAAGTCTTTTTTGATACAGAAATTAGTATGACTGTAAGATATTAAAAAAGAAAGATCCCAGTTTTTGTGGTTTCTGATATTTTTAAAATTGAAAATAAGTTGGATTTCCTATGAAAGAAGTTTACGGTCAGATTGCCTCTTTAAAGAGTGGTATGATTTGGGAAAAGAAAAAAGAAATCTGTATTCAATGCTGCTTTTGATCTATAAATCTTTGACATTCTGTCTAATTCTGAGACTATTTCCAGTAGATATTGTAGCCAGATATTATGTGTATGTGCAAGCACACATATGCTGCACATATATATACAGTTATGTATACTGTGCATAATCACAAATAATTATAGTTGTACACATATATATGTCACTTTTTCTTGTGAACATGAACTCACTTTGAAAAATCTATGTATCTGCTTTTTAGAGTATTAAAAGAATCTAAAAAAATAGCTTTGTGCTTAGAGAGCTAATGTGAAAAATCTATTTTTTAAATTCTGCAAACAATGCTGAAATAACTATATGACAGACCAGTCTTTCACTCTCAGCCCTAGACTGGAAAGGAAATAAAGAAAAAAAAAAAATCTTCCAATCCACATTGGGCTGAAATAATAGATTGCAATCCATGACCTGAATGATTTGGGTTAATAGCAATAGCATTTAGATTTATATATGCCCCATAGCACTTTGCAGCACATATTGGGTGGTTTACAGTGTCAGCATTATTTGCATAGTACCCCCAACAATCTGAGTCCTCATTTTACCAACCTCGGAAGGATGGAAGGCAGAGTCAACCTTGAGCCCCATCAGGATTGAACTCCAGGCTGTGGACAGAATTTGCCTGTAATTCCACTTAACCATTGCGCCACCAGATTTCCTTAGTTGTCAATAACTGACAAATACTGTAAATCTCTTCTTAACAGTACCTTCCTTTCCAGGACTTACAGAAAGGTTCAACTCTCTTTGCTTATGTAAGTTTCTGAATATCTCTTTCAAGGCCATCTCTGCACTACCAATATTGGCCATTGTATCGAACTAAGTTATGTATGCAACAGAAAAAGAAAGGAAATCCTCAGCACATTGATCAGTTCAGAGATCTATAAGTCTTGCATAGTTTTTCATTCTGACTTGCTTTTTATATCACTTGAAGTTATTGTACATCAGTCAGAGACAAAGATAAGCATTTAGAACATCTTAAATACTTTATGATAGAAATGTTATTGCTAGCTTTTTTCATGAATTATATGTCACTTTAAATTTCTTCTAGAAATAAAATTACTTTCCTCACTTTATAATTTAATTGTACTAATAAAATGTATATAAATAATAACTAGATGCCAATTCTTTAAATAAAATTGATTGTTTCTACTTATATTAACTTTTTTCCAAAAGTTAGAATCAAGTGGAAAATATCAGCTTTTCTATATTCTAATATTATTTTAAACATGATAGTTAAAGTTTGGAAAATGTATATTTATATTCCATGAATGAGAAATAATACATAATTATGCTTTATTGAACATATATAAATTAAAATTAAAATGTTGAAATCCATTGGGAGTTAAATTTATTATCATGCAAGTGGACTTTTTTTCTTCTCTCTTCTGCCGATCCTGCATCATTTCCAGGTCTGCCAGGAACATAAAACATTATCAGAACTCCGTAAAAAACCTAAATGATCCCTCTGGTAATATTTAAGAGAATCCTCTATCACTGAAATTGTCCTAGAGTATATAAAAGGATCAGTTTGAACTTGTTTCTGTTTTTTAATGTAATAAATAGGCATGAACATTTTTCCTATTTTTTTAATGCTCCCTTGAAAAATCTTGAACGTCTTTCAGTAAATTGCATTTCACTGCCTCCTTTTACTTTTTTTTTTTTTTTTTACATTTAGAGCTAGCTCTCATATATTAAACATTTTAAAAGGCTCATAAAGCAGCTTTTCAAGTGTCCTAAAGTAGAAAAGGAAGGTAGTTTCCTGGAAAGCATTTAATCTTTTCCATTACTCTATGCAGAATTGGTTGTTAGTTTAGTAAAGTGTTGTTAAAGCTTCAAACAAACGTTTTCAGTTTTTTTATGAGAGGGAAATATTTTTCTTAAATGTACTGTAACATTTATTAGATTTAATAAATGAAACCTATTTAAATAATTGTTAATGTTATGTTATTTAAAGCAAGAAGTACGAATACTAACATCTGAGATTGTAGTTACAGGCTTCATGTATCTTACTCTGTATAACTAACTATATTATTATAAACCTTAGTATAGGGAGCATAAAAAATAATCAAGATCAAAGACTCACTTTGAAAAATGACTTATTGCTTTTTAAGGGGTGTTGTTTGGACTCATCTACCAGGAGGTCAAATATTTTTACCAAGTGATACAATTGCACAAAACTTTTAATTAGATATTCTTACTTCTTATCCTACTTTGAGTAGGGAGGGATTGAAGGAAAAGAAGAGGACAAGGGACACAGTTATGGTAATGGTAGCAATGACTGCACTGTCGGAAGACCTGAAAGACTACTTTAAGGATAGGTTGTCATGGGGAAAAAAAAATCTATCTATTTTGTCATTAGGAGTTGAAAATAACTTGATGGCATATAAACAATCAGTCAATCAAATCTTAAAGCCCAAGAACTGGATCTATTCAACATCTGGTTCAAGACTGCAACAATTTTATTAAGGTGGCAAATGTATTACTAATGTTTTTGTTTATTTTTTTACATTAGTTATTTCAAGATAAAGTTCACTTATGCCCATAATTAGTTAGTTGCTTTGGATTCAGATATATATGTTGTGTAATTCATCAGTAGTATGTGGGAATAGTAGGTATGAACTCCTCTTCCTAACATTTTCAATTTTCCCTGAAGAAGTAATGATTGCAAAATGAAAGTTGTAATTCATCCAAGTAGATCCGAGTTTCTAAAGATCACTGCAATTTATGTCAACCACAAGAACACTAAACAATCAGCCAGTATATTCCCCATGATGTGCCTGCTTACTCTCTTGTAATTCTTTCCTATCCAATCTCTCTACTCTGCAAGAGGGAGAAAAACAAATCAGGCACAGAAGAGATTGCCTAAAGAAATTGCTTGTTTAGGCAATCTTTCCATGGGGGGGGTAGAATTGGTCAGACACAGGACAGTATATATCAATTGACTGTAATGATGAACACATAATTGAGAAACACTGAAGGTTGTAAATGCACACCTTGGTTGCAAAGTTATTTTTTCAGCATTGTCGCAATTTTGAACGGTTGCTACCCAAGGCTAAGCAAGGTCTATCTGTATTCTAAAGTCATTTCCTATAAATAGAGCCTATTTTTATGTACAAGTCTACTTTATATAAATAACTTAGCAAATCTGTATGCAAAATAACTAACTTTTCTAACCTTGTTAATCTAAGTTCTTTACCTTTAAATGGCATCATCAATAGGATAGAACTTTACTTTGGGGTAATTCTGCTTCAAATAATTACAAGAAGTCAGGATGATTGCTGTGCCTTCTTTGACATATGCACATTTATGCACTGATAAGATTTTTCAATCATTTGACTGTTGCCTTATTTTATATTGTGTTTCTGGAAACTTAATGCTTGAAATAATTTTTTGCCTCAAATAAATTATTCTGAACACCAAAGCTTCCATCTTTGGCTGCTTTGAAAGAAAGATATTTACTGAGGAAGCAGAGCTCATGTGATTGATGTACTGGCAGTCGTGTGATAAAGCATGATCAAACTGAAGTGATTGAAACAAGGAGAGCAGTATGAAAAGATTGTCATAATCTGTATTTTTTGGATTAGTTATAGGATATATATCGGATAATTTTTAATTTCCTTATTTCATCTTTTGTCTTTATTTTAGGAGCCAATTTTGTAACTCGAAAGATAAGTCGTTCGGTTGCTAAGATTCATCTGGGACAATTGGAATGCTTCAGTTTGGGAAATTTAGATGCCAAGAGAGACTGGGGTCATGCCAAGGACTATGTTGAGGTATGTGATTGCTAAAAGGCCTACTTTAAAACAAGGCCGTTGTGGGGCTTATTGCAATAACTTAAAAGTAAAAGTATGGCCTGAAGGCATCTGCTTCTAAATCTAGCTTTTCTCCCTGGCTGCCTGAAGAAGACATAGGATGCTACTATATGCATAACCTGAACATATAAAGAAGTTTTCAGGTTCACATTCCTTACTAAATTCCTGTGGGAAGGAGTAAAAACTAAAAGACCTCTTCTGCCTCAACAATATATTGTTTCTTTGAGATCAGAAGATTGAAGTGCAGTGAACTTTTTTGAGATCCTGTCTATATTGTGGAATTTTCTTATAGTAATGAGAGAAACAAGGCTAATGTTAATCTCAGAAAACATTCTAATTCTGATTCTGATGTGGTTGTAATATTGTTAATGTTTAATATTTCTTCATGTTAAAACCATTCAAGAAAAATTGTTAACATGGCCTATATAAATACTGTAGAGTTTATGTTTTCTTTAAAAAGTCACCTGTGTTGAATAGTTTCTTTTTTCTGATCTATTTTCATATGATTATGAAAATTTTTGAAGTTCTATATTTCTTCAATAACCATATAGGTGTATGATCAGAAGATGAATAACATATACAGTATGGTCCACAATATATTTATAGAGATCTAATTGCAAAGGCTGTCATTAAGACAATTAGGAAAGCATAGTTTGTTACCAGATAATTTGTATTTTCATATCTAGTCATGTCAACCAAAATAATCTGGCTGTAAGAAGTATCTCTTAGAGATGTACAACATATTTTAAATATATAATTAATAATAATAACTGTTACTATTAATTCAACTTGTATAGAAGATCTGCTCAGAACAGATTTTTTAAATCTTTCCCTGCTTGCCCTTCTAATTATCTTTACAAATGTGGCATCTGTCTATATGATTCTACGTGTATAAGTGATTAGATATTAGCCATAAAATAAGCTAACCATGATTTCTTAAAAAAAATGACACTGAACATTGTGTTTCAAAACTATGTTTGAAATGATCTTATTTATGTCACTTGATTGGGACAGAACTAGCATGCTTAATCTCAAGTTGATAGAAAACTATGGAACAATATTTCTGTTAAAATATTATATTTTAAGTTTTAGATATTGTACTTGGAACAGGCATAAGCCTTGCAAGTAAGTTTTATCCATTATTCTGTATTAATTTAAAGTGGAACATTTAAAATTAACTGAATTACTGGCAAATGGGTAATTTCAACGTATATTATTAAGTCTAGGAAATTATACAATAAACTATTGCACAGAAATATATTGAGATTTGATAAGCTTCTTCAGTTCTCCTAACAACACTCTTTGCAGCCTAAATTTTCTTATAATATAGAATGTATAGACGTTCTTTTCAACATAATAATTTGTTTTGATAGAGTAATGCCAGTGGAAATTTTAAATGAAAATAAGGATGCATTTTATTTAGCAGCTAGTTTCCAAATGTGCTGGCCACCAGATAAAAATATATTCTGCTGGTATTTTCACATGGATTACACACTGGTAATGTAACTCACATTCCAGTTTTTTCAGGTATTTGAGAATTGTCACAAAATTGTTCTGACATAATTCTTAACTGTGCTGGGCGTCATCTTGAATGTTTCCCCAAAGATTAATTTTTCTGTTTTTGTTAATTTCATGAGACCCTGAATTTCTGCAATGCAACTAATTGCCATCTATAAGAAAAAAATTGAAATAAATAACCATTTCAGAATTTAATGGATGGAAAACAAACCTCCAAAATTTGATAGTGAATGTAATTTCAGAGTGTGAAGTTGCAGAACTGTGATATATTTGAGAAGAAATTTAGGAAAACTAAGCCAGCCACCGCATTCCTTGTATTTACAGTACAGCTTGCTGCAAGCAATTTGATTTTCAGCAGATGTTCAATTTTCTTTCACTGCTGGGTGATATATAATAAAGGAGGAAAAAGAAACCACCTTTCTCCTCCTAAGCATGGAAGGAAAGGGCTGATGGAGAGGAACACAAATCTGCCAATAAATCTGATGGTCTGTCTGAATGTGTCTTTTTCACATTGCAATGGGAAAGAAATTGATTCAGAGATATGTAAGGGGAGAAGGGAGTATGGAGAAATAATGATGATGATGATGATGATGGTGGTGGTGGTGGTGATGGTGGTGGTGGTGATGATGATGGTGGTGATGATGATGATGATGATGATGTCAGTTGCAAAAGGCGGCCTTAGTAGGAACTGCTTCCATCCTGCGACGATATCTGTAATACCATCAAACATCCACATCTGCCTATCCCAGGTCCTTGGTAGGGACTCGATAGGTAGTCAAAAATGCCAAATCCAGTCTGAACATCTGGCTGACTGTGCGATGATCAGTAAAGTTGAAAGGGACCTTGGAGGTCTTCTAGCCCAACCCCCTCCTCAGGCAGGAAACCCTATACTATTTCAGAAAAATGGCTGTCCAGTCTCTTCTTAAAAACTTCCAGTATTGGAGCATTCACAACTTCTGGAGGCAGGTTGTTCCATTGATTAATTGTTCTAACTATCAGGAAATTTCTGCTTCGTTCTAGGTTGCTTCTCTCCTTGATTAATTTCCACCCATTGCATCTTGTCCTGCCCTCAGGTGCTTTGAAGAATAGCTTGACTCCCTCTACTTTGTGGCAACCCCTGAGATATTGGAACACTGCTATCATGTCACCCCTAGTTCTTCTCTTCATTAAACTAGACATACCCAGTTCCAGCAACCGTTCTTTATATGTTTTAGCCTCCAGTCCTCTGATCATCTTTGTTGCTCTTCTCTGTACTCTTTCTAGAGTTTCAACATCTTTTTTACATCATGGAGACCAAAACTGGATGCAATATTCCAAGTGTGGCCTTACCAAGGCATTGTAAAGTGGTATTAACACTTTAAGTGATCTTGATTCTATTCCTCTGTTAATGCAGCCTAGCACTGTGTTCATTTTTTTTGACAGCTGTAGCACACTGCTGGCTCATATTTTAGGGATTGTCCACTAGGACTCCAAGATCCCTCTCAATGTTACTACCATTGAACAAGGTACCACCTATGTATTTGGTCTTTCTTGCCTAAATGTAGAAATCATTGAATTTCACCATTGAATTTCATTTTGTTAGATATCGCCCAGTGTTCAACTCTTGTCAAAATCCTTCTGTATGTTAAGCCTATCTTCTGGAGTGTTGGCTATTCCTCTCAGCTTGGTGCCATCTGCAAATTTGATGAGTTCCCCATCTATCCCCTCATCCAAATAATTGATGAAGATGTTGAAGAGCACTGGGCCCAACACAGAGCCCTTGGACCCCGACTGCACACTTCTTTCCATGTAGATGCAGTTCCATTGAGGACCACATGCTGAGTACGGCCGGTCAGCCAGCTACGAATCTATCTGGTGTTGATGCTGTCTAAGCCACATTTTTTTATCTTTCAAGCAATATGTTGTGGTCTACTTTATATAAATACCTTATTGAAGTCCAAGTATATGATATCCACAGTATTCTTCTGGTCCACTAATTTTATCACCTGGTCAAAGAATGCAATAAGGTTTGTCTGGCATGATCTGTTTTTGACAAACTCATGTTGGCTTTTGGTTATGACTTAATTTGCTTCTAGGTGTTCACTGATTCATTGCTTGATTATCTTTTCCAGAATCATCCCAAGTATTGAGGTCAGGCTGATAGGTCTGTAGTTTTCTGGATCTATTCTTTTTCCTTTTTTGAAGATGGGAACTACATCTGCTCTTTTCCAGTCTTTTGGTAGTTCATTGGTGCTTCAGGATCTTTGAAAGATATAGTTCAGAGGTTCTGAGATCACATCTGCCAGTTCCTTCAGAACCTTGGGGTGTAATCCATCTGGTCCTGGTGATTTGAACTCATTTACCATTTTCTTGCCTATTTTATCGTGTTTTTACAGTACTGTTTTTGATAGATTGGACTATTTCTTTCCTTTGTGTAAAGATGGATGCAAAAAACAAGTTAAATAGTTCTGCTTTTTCTCTGTTGCTTGTCACCTTCTTGCCACTTTCTCCCATTAATGGACCAATCATTTCATTATTTTTTTCTTTTTTTATATATGTTGAAATAAGCTTTTTTGTTATTTTTTTTTACTTTTGTTGCAAGCCTTAGTTCATTTTGAGCCTTAGCTTTCCTTACTTCAGGCTCAGGCTATTTGCTGATATTTGCAGGCTCAGGCTATTTGCTGATATTCTGACTTAGTTATGTGCCCCTCTTTCCATTTTTTATACTTGTCCTTTTTATCTTTCAGTTTATCATAGAGTTCTTTATGCAGACACGTTGGTTTCTTTTGTGAGCTGTTATTTTTCTTCTTCATTGGTATTGTGCTAGACTGGGCTTATAGACTGGGATGAAAACAAATTGTATGATACTTTGAGTGGATGGATGAATAAGAGGACAGAGAGCATTGCTATGTGTGCAGAAGGGAGGAGGAGAAACATGGTTGAGGTTAAGTAACCCTCTAACATCACTGACAATTGTTTGTGTAGTGCATATGCACCATACTGAGATTGAAGAAATATGGTGCAATTATATTCCTACTTTCTCTTGGCTTTGACCCGGTCCGCAACTATATAAGCTGTAACTATTTTCCCAGAGAGAATATAACCTTGAATCCAAAAATGTTGTCCATATTCTGCAGTAAGCTACAGTATGTCTGTATAAGCAGCTGAATGGACAATATGGATTGGTAAATATGTTTATTAAAAGTAAATTAATATTAGTAGAAACAGTTATACACTATAGACTGTATTTTATTCAATATGATGCCAAACTGCAGGTAACCTGGATGTAAGTTTGAGATTAAGCAAAATAATCAAATATAGCAAGAATTTTTGTGTCTTGCTTTGTTATATAATTTCTTTTTATTTGGGGTAGCAATAAGCCATCTGTAGATATATGTTAATACTTATACAATAGTAAGTATTTATTAATCAATTAGTCATATCACAATAAGAAAAAGAAACAT